AACGAGTACTTTCGGCGAGTCGCCGAGTGCCTTCGGCAAACTCAGGCCTCTCGCCGAAAGTTACCGACTCAAATCACAAAGTTGACACGCAATTAAAAATCGAGATGCGGAAAATAGGTGAACCGCCGAGTGGTTCGGCGAGCTCGACCCAGCTCACCGAATGATCTAACGTGCCCATTTTCAATTCACCTTCTCGAATTCAACCCCGCAACCCCCGAAAATAAAATCAAAGCATTCACTCATGGAATTCAAACAAGACCCATACTACCCATCACCCTGGGACACTCAGATTTCTCCCAGATTTCTCCCAGATTTGTCGCATTTGGCCATTTAAAGATATTTGCTCTTAAGGGTGGTGTCACCCGTTCTATCATTGAGCAAATTTTTGACATTTAGCACAAACGCAGGTTACCACGACTTCACCCAATCAATTGACCAACATGCAATCACAATCCAACTCATTAAAAAGCAAAAAAGCTACAGGCATTTGACAATCAAACATTACGGGCAGGATTTTCAAGTTAAAATAGGCAATTGAGGATTCTTATCCTACCAGAGAGTCCCAACACACATCAATACGATACAATCATAGCAAATGAGTGTACAATTTTCAAATGTAAGCTCAAGGTTTGGAAACCAACCTTTTGTGTCGATTAAAACGCGATTGAAAAGCTTGGCGGCAAAGTATTCCAGCTCCGAGCACAAATCAACCAACTGAAATGCTAGTAAAGGGCTCAAATAAAGAAAATTACTACCTTAGTGTGAATTTAGGAGGTTTAAGAGTGAGGGAAAGTGAAGAATTTCAATTTTTAAGACTTTTGGTCATTATAAACCGTCTAGTTCGTGTCCATTCAGCAACGTTAGTATTACTCGTCGATCTAATCGGCGATTCACCGAATAGTCTCATATCTCGCCGATTTTTACAGGGCTTCCAGATTACATGGAGGTTCAAACGGCGGACACTAGCGGGATCACCAACCAATTCTGTGATTCGCCAACTGGATCCTTATTTCGCCAACCTGCACTTTTCAACACATTCTTTGTTTTAACCTATAAAATTAACACACCATTATTTATAAAAGTAAACTAGAGCATTTAAAACCTTGGGTTGCCTCCCAAGAAGCGCCTTATTTAACGTCGTAGCTTGACGTGAGCTACCAATCAAACTTCGACTCTGGGTTAGACCTAATGCCACTAGGCAACCCGCCTTTACTGCTTAGGTAGAGATGAGGCAATGTGAGATCCAAGACGTCTTCAATCAACCTGATTGATCTTTAGTGGTAGCCACTCATCTGATTCAGTATCTCCAAGCTTTCCCTCATCGCCTCTAGCATTCTATCTTGCTCGTGAAGATTTTGGAGAATGATTAATAGTGTATCCTCGATACTTTTATTTTCGTTGCTCCTAGACCTTTCTCGCTCATAAGGAGGTATGTGCCTCTTTTGGCTCTTGCACTGGTTTTCCACCTTTGAGATTTTGGTGGTCAAGTCATTCAGCTGAGTTACCAGTGTAGCTAACTTGAAGCCACCCTCGAATTTTTGGTTCATCTCAGCTAACTTGCCACCACTTCCCTCAGCCATGCTCAGGGTTTCTGCATACAACAACTTAGAGAAAAACAAAATGACAAATAAAACTAGTAAACTACGATAATTGAAAGCAGAATTCAAATCAAGCCAAAAACATTCAAGTAACACCACTCCCCGGCAGCAGCACCATTTTGATATTTCCGTAATAGAGAAACAACTTTCGATGCAAGTGTCTACGATCGTACAATAGGTTAGTAACCCAACCAAGGTTTGGGGTCGAGTCCCAAGGGAGTGGGCGTGAGAATTAGTGGTTAAGGGCAAAAGTGCTAAAGCTAATCAAAGCTAAAGACTTTGGCAAATGAAAACATAACAAATTAAAAAGGGTGACGCAAGTGTCAAGTATCAAATGGGGGTTTGAAAGCAAGGAACAACTAAAATAGTTAAAATAAGGAAAAAATACAAGTATGAGACGGGATTCTTGGGATGTGTAGGAATACGGGATAGACTAAATCATTAGGTACATGCTTTTGATAGTGAATTCATTGAGTATTTGTGACTAGGCTAGACTTTAAGGGGGATAAGCTCTTTCTCGAGCAACTTACCCCGTTTCAAATGTGTTCCTCTCGGACACCCACTTGCTGCATGAAGAACAGCCTCCGCCTTAACCCACTCACTCTCTCGAACTAAGTGTGTGGACCTGGGACTAGGGTTCACTCTCTCGAGTTGAACCTCATGTCGACCCACTCACACTGGACATCAATTTAGTGGTCTTAGTTTTACGACCTCTCTCTCGAGCATGCCAAAGACACATATATGAGATTATATTTTCAACTACAACCTCATTAAGTTCATCCACAACCACTAAATGAAATCACATTTAAACTATGAATAGAATATCAACAAGCAAGATCCAACAACTAATCTAACCCATATTCACAAAATCACACCCTAAGAATTGGGGTTTTAGCTACGTATGTAAAAGAGATAAAGACGTATACCAATATCAGTTTCCATCAATGGGTATGCAAGATTAAGTCTTAAAACAAGCCAAAGGTGAAGAATCCAAGAGACCCAAGTCCAATTTCTTGAATTTGAAACCCTTTGAAAATTCCAAGTTCTTCAAAACCCTCTCCAAAACTTAAAGAGAATATCTCCAAAATTCTGTCTCAAACTTAATAATATAAAAACTAGATAAAACAAGGTAAAATTCGCTACTAAAAATAAAAACTGAATTAGTATTTATAGTTTTCAGAAAATATGGTACAAGGATCTTTCGGCGACGTAGTGGGAATCGCCGATGCATTCGGCGATCCGCCCTTTGGCCTACTTCGTCACCTTTCATCAGTCGCCTTCAACATCTTTGTTTCCTAGATAATTGGGCGATGTAGCATTGCTTCGCAGAGTCGTTTGTTGCTACGCCGACTGCTCCTTTTCACCGCCGATTTTCTCCTTTCCTTCAGGGCTCAGCACACTGGAACAAAAGGCGAATATATTATCTGTTGGCGATTCGCCGATTGGGTTTGGTGATTCACAGATCTTCATTTTTTCGTTCTTTCAGATTCTTTTACTCCTTTTTACTATGTAGTGTCCACGCTTTGTCTCAAACTTCAAATACATGAAACTTAAAGGTTTTCATCAGATATCGAGATAAAACATGCATTTGAGGACACTAATTTCATCAAAATCTAGCCCTAAATGAGTCCAAATCGTGGACTAATCAAGGGGTTACATATTCGAAGGTCGTTTGAAAGAACAAAGTTTTGGAATTTTGATTTTGGAGTGTGCATGGTTTGCATTGAGGTAGGATATGGCTTCCAGTTTTTAGATTAAACTTGATAATGTAATTGCATGTTGATTAGTCGAAATTTGGGGTGGGTTAATACTTGTTTCATGCTAGTTGCTTAGAAATCATGTTTAGATTGTATTCATTTTCTCTTGACTGTTAGCATGCTTAATTCCCTTCTTGTGATCATTTTTACATTGTGTCCCTAACTTGCCCTTGTTTATTGATAAAACTCAACTACACTTCTTCCGATTCAAAGTGTAGACGGTCGCTAACAAGTTTAAACCTAACGATGAGTTGGGGTCGATCCCATAGGGAGTGATACGATAAAGAATTAAATTAAGAAGTAAATACATGTTTTAATCTTTTGTAGAAGTAAAAAAGGGTGCAACATAAAATAAATCACGAAGTTTCAACAAGAGGGGAAATTTAGTAACCAAGTTCGAACAACAACAATCAACACGAGATTTGAACTATTGGAAAGACAACCTTAGAAATGTGATCGATCGAATGCTAATCTCGCTTAACCGGTAATTACTAATTTCTTTAAGTTGAATCTCAATCAGTAGGATAGATTTTTAATATAATAGCCATCTCTCGATCAACAATCATGTTTCGAGTGAGTTCTCTTGAACCTCAACAAGCTTAAAAAAAACAACCCAATTCCTTAATTAACCCAATTTCTCAAGCTGGTTGTAAAGATGCTAATCAATACAAATATCAATCATTAATTCTACTATATACCTCTTTCTCAAGTAAGCACGTAGATCTAAGCTAGAACCAAATTTGCAACTTCAGTTCATCAATTAAAACATGAACAAACAATTGAACCCATTTCAAAACAACACTAAACTCAACAATTAATAATACTCATAAGCTAATTAATGTATTCGACTACATGATCATACCCCTAAGGTAAGGGGTTATAGCCAAACATAGAGAAAAGTAAGAAATTGTTACCAAAAAGATTATCCATCTGAATTAATAACAATCTGCAATACCCCAATGCCAAAATTAAAGCTAGAATCCTAAAACCTCAAATCTGAGATCCAAATATTCTCCAAGAATGTTCAACAATGTAAATGTGAAAACTCTCAAAGACTGGGTAATACATTGTGTGTGGGAACTCCTTTTCTTCTTTCAAAAAATGAATTTATATGTTCCCAAAAACTCAACATGGCATCCAGTTGGTGAAGTTAGTCGGGATCGCCGATCGACTTAGCGATGTTCTGAGTTGCACTTCGTCTCGCTTTATTTATGTGACTATTGTATCCAATTGTTCCGGAAGATTAGGCGAGCTGGGTTGTGATCGCCAATAGATTCAACATACCGCGAAATCACCTTTTTCTCACCAAATTGGCTTGTACATGGGCTACTTTGCTGCAACGTTTGGCAAGTTGGAGGCTCACTCGGCGAGTCGCCGAGTGGCTTTTGCGAGTTTCAGCTTCTTTTTTCTTCAGCTTTTCCAACTTTTTTGCTTCTTTTCTCATCGTAATCTCATTTCCTTGTTATTAAACCTAATTGCTGAATATCATCACATTAACATCAGTTATAAGCATAAAGTAGGCATTGAAGACATTAATTCATTGAATAATAAGCCCTAAATATGTTGAAATTCCTGATTCATCAACACCCCCAATCAAGGAAGTTTCACGTAGTGAGGCCTCTTTAACAACCCGTACCAAATCACCCTACAGGTCCTTTATATCCTCGAACACTACTTCATCACGAGCCTCTAACTGTTCCTCATCTGTCTCAAGTGTGTCGGACTCTCTATCATCATCAACTGTAACTGCATGTCTGGTCACAATAGCTGGAGGGATCTCAGAAATAGCTGACATATCTGCACTGGGGTCATCGGGAACATATACATTACCCCACAACATCAAGATATTGGTGGACTTCAACTCATCCACATCATGTAGGAAACCAGTAATAGCAGTTTTCAAGGCAGTCACATCCGCAGAGCTAGGGTTTGACGTCTTACATACCTCAACCTGAGCAGTGAGAGCATGCAATACCAACCAATGGTCCATGATCATATATCAACTTGTATCCGAAAAAAGAAAATGAACTGAATTGTGGGAAGTTGCAAGTGCCAGCTACAGAGGCCAACCACTGCCCATGGGTTGAACCACATACCATAGGTGGGTCCGTGGGATTGCCAACTTGCCTAAGTGGAAGACGCCCAGGATCACAGCCTAACCTACAGATCATAGGCCAGACCATTGTCTCTGGTTAGGTTCTGAGATTCAATGGCCCAAAAACCATCTTCTGACCACCATCGACGGTCCACCAAGGCGGGTCGTGGGTCTGTCGATTCTGTCCGTAGGTGGAAGGTCGGTGGTCAGTTGGTAGTTAAGTTTAGGGGAAGTTGGGTTTTTTTCTAATTAATTAGCTCCTATACTACATCGTTTTACCCTTCCCTAAGAACCCTATATAAGATTTGTCAACCCCCAAATTAACCCATTTACTTCATTCTTCCAAATTCACAAAAGAAGACCAATTCTCCTTTCCAAAATATTTCTCTCTCTAGAATCTTGAAGAAGAAGAAGATTCAATCTAGGGTTTCAATTCAAGGTCTCAATTCATCCATTGAAGGCTACCTTTTGGATTTAAGGTATGATAGTTTCATCCATGGATTCCTTCCATCCATGGAGTTCCAATATTCTCTATTTCAAAAGGTAGAATTCCCCAATTGAGTTAGGGTTTTCTTCAATTATCATGTGTTCCTTTCATTATTGATTTAAATGATTGAATTATGATTTTTATGCATGAATTGATGAAATATGATGATTTTATGATGATTTCCCCATGGACCCATGTAATTTCCATGTTTTCAAGTGATGAATCATATAATGTGGGATTTTGATCTTCAAGGAAGAGAATTATTAAATTAAGCATGTATTGCAAGCTTTACATGTATTTATTATGAAATTCATATCTTACCCATGTTTTCTATGTGTTAATGATTGAAAGTGGATTTTGAACCTCAGGAGGTAAATATGGACTTATGCATTTTCTTATGAAATCTATGCAAATGTTTTAAGGGTCCTTTGAGAGTAAAGTACCAATAATGTTGTTGTGTTGTGAAAGGATATTCTCATAAACACATATTAGCATTATGTAAAAGGTTTTCTCACATAAAAAGGATTCTTAGGTTGAAAGGCTTTCTCACCTAATTGAATCAAAGAGTAAGAGATATCTTAATAAAACTAGCTTGGATTGGTTGTCCAAGCGCACCTTTCAATGAATAATGAATTCAAGTAAGAAATGACTATTCCATGGGATTTATTCTTAGCACAGAGTGGATAATGATGATGGTATGGAAGCTCTCCCGTAGTAGAGGCCGGGTTTCTAGAAGCAATCTCACGAGATGGAAGCTCCCCCTTAGTAGAGGTCAGGTTTCTAGTAGCAATATCCTTATCCCTTACCTATGTGCCCCCGTAGGATGATTGTCTCAAGAGACATTAGCTAGTGGATCTACTTAAGATAGAAATTCATGGCATTTACCTTGGCAAGTAAGACAACCCTTTTCGGTGTGGGAGGCACCGGGGATCATGTTATAGCTCACATGATCTCTATGTCAGTTAAGGCTAATTCCCCACAATAAGAATGAACAATGGTTACTTCAAGAAGTATCACATGGGAGTTTAAAGGTTTTAAAGATGAAGTTAGCTTAAATTGACCATGATGTTATGATTTATGTTTTCTAACTCTTTTATATCATGTTTTAGCTTGGTCAATTGCATGTCATGAAATGAAATGCCCCTTTTTAGCATGATTTAAATTTTTTATGCATGTCTATCATACTTGGTACGTTATTTTGTAATAACGCATACTCTTGCCTACATTTCCCCAAATGTAGGGTCCGACAGTCAAGGTCATCAATTTCGTGGCTAGAGGTTGAATTGAGATATTTCGAGCTCTAGTGAGTCCTCATGCTTCGAGGACGGACTTTCATTGTTGTTTTTCCTTTTCATGTATTTCTCTTTTGGACATGATGTATGGGCTAGGCCCAATTTCATTCTATTGCATTAGATGGCTATGATGAGAACAATGTTTTAGACTTCCACTTTTCTTTTATAAAATGTTTTGGACTTGGACTATTATTTTACTCTTATTTTTTTATTTCTTATGTTATGAGAGGTAAGTGGCTTGTATGGAGTTCTTTAGGGTTCTATACTCCATGTTACATCTAGGGGGTACCCCTGGGTCGTGACAAACTTGGTAATTAGAGCACAAGGTTTAGAATGGTCCTAAGATGTCTCATAAGCCACGTCTAGTAGATTCTTGTTCATAAGTGTGAAGTGCGCCACATTTATGAATGAGAGGCTACAAGATGATTAGGAAACTTCATTTCTTTCATTACTCTTAAGTCGTGCAATAGAGTTAAACTCTATAAGGTCTCTCTCTGAATCCTTATCCTATGTTCTTCAGGATATGGCGACTCGAAGATCTTATACAAGAAGAAATGTGAGGGAGAATGCGGAACAAGAAGCCCCTCCCCAAGCTCCTCAAGTTCCGATCGATCCTTTGGCCGAGCAAGTGTCGAATGTACATTTTAGGGTTGCTTTCCAGGTGTTGGCTAAAGCCCTAACAACCTAAGCCAATAGGGAGGTAGTGGTTCTCGTTAACCCAAATGTGGGTACGATAGCCTCAAGAGTGAGGGACTTCACAAGGATGAATCCTCCAGAGTTTCATGGTACTAGAGTTGAGAAAGATCCTCAATATTTTATTAATGAGGTCTATAATATTTTGATGATCATGGGAGTTACGCCACTGGAAAAGGCGTAGTTGACCGTTTATCAACTAAATGGTGTAGCTCAAATATGGTATAACCAAAGGAAGGAAGGGAGACCAGAAGATGCGGGTCCTCTTGATTGGGAGAAGTTTAAGGTCGAATTTCTTAATAGGTTATTTATCCTTGAGAAGAGGAAAGCCAAGGTGCTTGAGTTCATTAATCTTCGATAAGGAAGCATGAGTGTGAGGGAATATGCTCTAAAGTTCACTCAATTGTCTAAGTATGCTCCATTAATGGTTGTCGATTCAAGGGCTAGGATGAGTAAGTTTGTTTCGGGTGTGTTCGAGATGGTGGTTAAATATAAAAATGGATAATAAAGAGAATCATAGATACGAATTAATAAGAACAGTAATAACAAAACGACAAGAGTTAAAACATAAGCAAGAAAGGTTACAATACAATATATATGCAGGAGTATGTCAAAAATCTTTGCTAGCACAAAGAAAAGTAATATTTAAATTACAATTAGATATACAAAAAATAGAGTATAAATTAAAACATAATTTAAAATGAATAAGGAAGAATTTGCTATAGAAGAAAAAACCTACGAAAATCCAGAAGGATTAAAAATAAAAATAATATTTTCAAATTTAGGAAGAAGGTATAAAAAAATAGGTGAAAATTTGTATCTAATGATAGAAAAAGAAACGGTAAGATTAGAAGATAGTCTAACTGCAATGGTACGGATAACTAGAGAAAATGAAGAAATAGATAGGAAAAAAGAAATAGACACAATAAAACAACAAGCAAAATTAGAAATACAACAGATTGAAGAAGTAAAAAATGATAAAATAATTGCCTTAGAAAAAGAATTAACTATGCTTAAAGAATTATATGCGGCTAAACAAAAAGAAAAAGAAATAGAAACGAACTTAAAAATGGAGATAGAAAAATTTAAGGAACAACTAACTAAAGAAAACCCAAATATAGGAATTGATAATGTTGATATAGATGAAAACTGCTCAGAACAAGGCTCAGATATAAGTGAAACATATACGGAAATAATAGAAAAAATAGAAGAAACCGAAACAATCAATAAGATAGAAATAAATACGGAAGAAGTTAAAAATGAAGCAAGTACAAGTACACCAGAAGTAAAAAATCCAAAAACACTAAGACCTAATTATTATACAATTAGTTATGAAGATTCTGACAGATATGATAGTTTATGGAATAAGAGACTAAACAAAAAATGGACACCATCAACAACATCCCGCAATAACGGATTTTTAGATCTAGATTGTGTAACAGATATAAATAAAACAATACAATTATGGGTAGGATATATAGCAAAACAACTAATAGATAATAAAATTGGAATGTCAGAAGTACCAGGATATATAGAAAGAACATTTTTAGGAACGGTAAAATTATGGTTACAAAATTTAGCAGAAGAAAGCATAAAAACATTAAGAAATAATAAAAAAATAGACGGAGATAGTGCAACCACACCAATCGACATATTAAATAAATATGAAATGGCAATAAGAAATGAATTCAGTAGTACAACTACAGAAGTAGAAGAACAAAATAAAGAAAAACAGTTACATAAGAATTTAATGCTAAAATTAGCTATATGTAACATGTGCTACATAGACGAATATACATGTGTATTTAGAGAATATTATTATAAAGGAACATATAATGCAGAAGAATCAAAAGAAATAAGAAAATTATATTTTACAAAATTACCAGAACCATTTAGTTCTAAAATAATAAAAGATTGGAACGAAGCAGGATTATAAGATACACTTAGAGCAAGAATGAGATATCTACAAAAATGGTATTCAGCAATATGTGAAAAATATAGAGAAGACATAAAAATGGAAAAAACAATAATTAAAAACCTAGCATGTTGTAAAGATAAGATAGCACCTCAGTTCGGATGCAATGATAATTATTATAAAAAGAAATATAGAAAACCAGGGAAATATAAAAAATATAAATCCCAATATAGGTATAAAAGACCAAGAAGAAGATATTACATAAAAAATACTAAAGCAAACAGACCTTTTAGACCAAAGAAAAAAATAACAGAATGTACATGTTATAATTGTGGAAAACTAGGACACTTTGCTAAAGATTGTAAATTACCCAAAAATCCAAAGAAAAAACAAATATCTGAAATAATAATTAATGATGAAACATATACACAAATAGATTATATAGATTATGAACCAGATAGTGATGATAGTATATATGAATTCGAATCACTTGAAAACGAAATATCTGAAAATGAAATAGAAGAAAATAATGACTGAAAAAGACGTACAAATGATAAATAAAGAAGAATATACAAATGAAGAATCTACGGAACAGAAGGTAATATTTGATACTAATATATTTGAACAAATAAAAGGAAAAGAATTAGATCTCAGTGTAGAAAAAATATTTAAGATACCATTAATAAGAAATATATTTAAAA